ACAGAAAAACTGTGCATTAGCTGCCCCTCTCCCCCTCCCAAAAAAGGGCCCACCCAACACTCATACCCAGTGTCCAATTAAGCCCAACTTTGCATATTAATGAGATTCAGAAAATTGAACGTGTGATAGTTATGTCCGATGATTTTAGGTTATGTCTGCTTCCAATAATAGCTATTTCGTATTAAATAGAAGATGGTAATTGTACTTGTGTTCGTGAATCAGCAAATGGATACCTTAGATTCAATGGAAATACACAATTAGTGCAATGCAAATGGAATTTAGCTTTAGACGAGAAGAGTGAATAAATTCACAATCCATTAAAAAATCATCAAAGGTTTCAATTTATTTTAAGTGATACAGTTTATTGCTAGAAGCATGAATCATTCGCTCATAGCTCTGAAATGTTTTGTTTTTGTGTGTTTTGTTTTTTAAAACTCTAGAACGAGGATGCCTAATGGAGATTCTCTGTAGGCTTTAATATTCTGACTGTGCTGAACATGTTCTGTAAAAGCTTTAACAGTGACGCCGTTCACGGAAACGCTCATTACAAACTTGAAATAAAACAAATTACTTCTGAGGAAACAGAGAAAACAATTTGTCACAACGCGATGGAATCAGCCGCTCGTCAAAATTGGGGTTTGTGGAATCATTAGTATCGTCGTAAAGCGTGTTCATTTGTTTGTATTTCAATGAAAAAATACCCATCTCTCTTAAATAGAAGTTGAGACATTTCCGATTTAAGGAGGTAAGGGTTGCATGGTTTCACAGGTACAATTTAAGTGGAAATGGCCGTCAAAGTTTGGTGATTTCCATAGCTTGGAAACTGAAAATGTACATGACCTTAATCAATGTTTTTCCATGCCTTGGATATTGAAAATGTACATGGCCTTAATCAAAGTTTTTCCATAGCTTGGAAACTGAAAATATACGTGACCTTAATCAACGTTTTTCACTAAAATCCACACATCATTAAAAAAAAATAATAATAAAAGGCGTTGAGCCAAAAAGAAAACTTTTTTAATCGACATAATTGCCATTCCTGCGAACAATTACTGACGGTTTTTACGATTTCATTATTTTGACGAGCATCTGATTTCACCACGTTACTTCGGAAATACTTTTGGGCATACCCCCAAAAAACTTGCTTTTACACCTCCATCAACATGATCATCAAAAGGAGATCTCGTAATCTAGTGATATCTCCTCTGTACTATATCGGGTGAATCTCAAAGTAATTATGACAGGACTATGTTTGATTATACTGTAACGGGGTTCATTTTAGCTTTTCAGAGATGTCTGATAAAAATGTTGTTATACTTATACCGTCCCTGACATACTGGCGAAGGGAAGTAAATATAAATATATCTTACTTTTATTTGCTTACTGTTATCCGCCGCTTATACTCTTTTGGATGAAGTGGATAAATATAACTAAAGCACATAAATTGCCGCCCATTTTGCTTCATGCAATCAATAAATCTGGAACAAATTAAAACGCAGGTTATGTATATATACATAATTTGTCAAAGCTACGAGTTAATGTCGGTGATCATGTATAGATCCAAAAGATGGTCTGACTACACTCACGCTTTCACACACACACGCAACGCAAATACAAACCATACAAGTACAAACGCACATTATAACATGCATCAGCATACCCACTTGAATATTCAACAGCTCAAACAGACGCACACATGCACGCAGAATAACAGCAAACTCACGCTTAAATGTATACCAATATACTTATGAACGCACACTTACACACGCATATAGGCTGTGTCTGCGCATGAGTGTGTGTGTGTGTGTGTGTGTGTGTGTGTGTGTGTGTGTGTGTATGTGTGTGTGTGTGTGTGTGTGAGTGCAGGTGTTTGTGTGCATTTGTGTGTGTACGCGAGTGACAGAGAAAGATAAGGAGACAATGAGAGAAATAGAGAGAAAGAGAGAGAGAGAGAGAGA